TCTTTCCAAAATGTCCTCTTTTTAATCAAATACTTCAATTTGTCATTAAGAAGTGAAACAATTAAAAGAAAAAAAATTAGGTGTCACAGGAAAAAATTATTTCCCAGTATTCACAGATGACTATGGTGAGAATAACACAAAATACTTTCTTATAAAACCTTCAGCACAATATGCATATAAATTTACAGTGGCCACGGGAGACTAGGTTTTATACCTCCAGCTTATTGAAAGCAATAATAAGTTCACATTATACAGAAAAAAAAGGTTAGGAAATTACATTATGGTAGAGTCAACATAGTATGTTTAATAAGTCCGTTCATGTTACTGAAATAATTATTTATTGGACATAGTTTGGAACAGAATCACAGTGTCGCTCTAGCTCATATTTCAGGCAAGATTAAACATACATCCACTTCAAAACACAAAATGAAAGGAATTTCATAGCTTTCCCCTGAATGTACTTGAAAATATTTGTTTTTAAATTCATGAACATAATAGTGAGCTGTGTAAAGAGAATGGATGAAATTAGAGAAGTTGTAGAGATGGTCATTATTAAGAAGCTTGGAAAAATCAATTCTTATTAAAGAGTTTATATTCCATTGCAATCAGATAAATAAAAGTATAGTTTGTATAGTTATTCTGGGAGAAGTTCTCTTTAGCCAGTCCATTTAAATATAATTTTGTTACATTAATTATAATCCATGTTGCAGGACACAAAATTATGTTTTTAATTAATTTCATAATGACATATTTATATATCTGTATTACTTAAATATATTTTTAATTAAATAGATATATAAATATGTACGGTATATGTATTTTATGCAATGGTAAATTCAGATCCTAAATTTTGACTTTGAAATAGCTGATAAAAACTGGAAGACAATAGTACACTGATAATTTTTATACTATTTGTAATAGTTCATAAAATTGCAAAGTTTTAACATTACCTTAAGTAGGTGATTTCATACTTAAATATACTGCCAGTTACAAATTCCTAATTTCTATGTCCCAATTCATATAACACCACATTTTTAGGATGACTCAATTGCAGGAATATTTACCATTTTTTCTATATTAAGTGATCATCTGTACTCCTTCAGAAAGGATTGTTTATTTCCAAAAAACAAGCAAAAAAGACAAAACCAACTGTATTTGTAGTCTCAGTATGTATTAATCCAGCATGCGAGGTAAAAGATTAAGTAATCTAAAACACAAGCTCTGAAATTATTATAAAATTTCATTCATTGATTTTGGTTATTTTCTCTTTCCTTTATGAAATTTAAAAAATGAGATATTTCTTATGCATAAATTTAACTCAACAAATGTTTAACTCACTAAAATTTTAAGGTAAATTATTGTTGTCATTATTATTATTATCATCATCAACCGAGAAGGATAAGACACATATCCTTTTCTCATCCAATCCATCTCTACGCTGAAGTCCTTTTTCATAAACATTTCACACACACACTCACACACAGCAACATCCAAATACACTGTTAATGTGTAAAGACTGGACTCTTTGAGACACAAGGGAAGGCTGAACAAGGAGAAGAGTTTAGATAATCTTCATTCTGTCTAATATAATGAACATTGCTTTCTTAGCGGTATAAAATACAACTAGAATTCTGCCACACCAAGAAGTAAATGGACTTCCATCTACAGTCTTTGAAAAACACCCCATTTACCTTCACAATTTTATATACAAAGAGATACTTTATGTTTTGGAATTTTTTTAGCTATTGGCATCTTAACAATTGTTTTTAAGTTTATTATTCTGAATAAACAAAAGGAAAATACTACAATTTAGGAAATAAAAACCAATTGATATAAACTTTGTGATAATTACTCTGTTAATTTTTTAGCTTAATAAATGACACATTTAGTCCCTTTAAGTATTAATACAAGCAAATAAAATAAATTAAAATTTAGCTTGGGGGTAAAAACTTGAGTGCTTTAAAGTGAAATAGAAAATCCTTTACAAAAAAAGATAAAAAGAGATTCCTGTAGACAAATGGAATGTATTTAATTTTTAAAAATTCCTTAAGCTCTTGTGAAGAAAGTATCTATCATTCAGTAGTAGACTTGTTATATTTATAGATGGCTTACAATAATTCAAAAACTCATATTCCAAAACTATTTAAGTAAACTATATCTACAAAACAGCTAAAATCAAATGTCTGAAAGCATAAAATAGCTTACAGACAGCTCAACTAACTAAATTTAATGGTTGGAAAAATGCAGCAAATAAATTGGCCACAGCAAGGGTGTTATTGTACCTAATTTAAATTATTGTATGTAATGTATTTCTGTACTAATCTATTTGTAGACTAAAAGTAAATAATATTCATCAAACCTAACTGTGTTTCCTCAGGATTTAAAGCAGCTTTGGCTGCTTAATTATCTCTTTATGACACTTAGATACTACATGTATTTAAAAAAAAGGCCCACTTTAATAACAGCTTGAAATTTTCAAATTGCTGACCACTATCCAAAAGAAACAAAAAAACAACACAGGAACACATACAATTAAAAAAAAAAGTTTGAAGTAAATCTCTATGAATATATTGTCAGTTTGTTTTATATTGAACAAGTTGAAACCATAGTGTAAAATGGTTAACAATCAAAGAAAAATATTTATGAATAAAAAAGCAAAAACTATATGTGTGTGTGTGTGTGTGTGTGTGTGTGTGTGTAAAATCTAGACACAGTCAGCAACAACAAACAGCAAACCAGCAAACCATATGCTTTGGATCATATATATATATATATATATATATATATATATATATATATATATATATATATATATATATACACATGGCTGGTTAAATGAGGAATGCAAGAAATGACGAGACTGGTAATTTCTTGCTTATAGTAATATGATATCTGGATCACATTCTCCACTGTCCTAATTAATAAAAATTCTTATTACTGCACTTTCCTCATGGCCTCATTCATTTACTTATTTATCTATCCATTCACTCATTTATTCGTCTGAGTAACTATTGTGTTTTGGACATTGTACCAGGTACCTTTAATCACCCCCAACCTTTATTTTTTTAGTCACTTTGCACTGAAACAGCCCTGAGAAAATATTTTTTTTCATACACTATAAACAAAAACAAAAACTTTGGAACACTTGATAGGCCAATCATTTGTTGATGTCTCAAAAAATAAACTTTTTGAGGACAGGGACACATGACTTCTTATCATGTCTAAGAACAAGTGTTCAAGCCTTTGGTTAACACACCCTGAAAATAGTCTTGTAAAAATAATAAAGATTTAAATGACTTCAATGGCTTTAGTTAAACAATAAATTTTACATGGTTAGATATTGCAGATTCCCAAGTGTTTATGAGAAATAAAATATATTTCATTAAAGTTTCATTAGAAACATAAGCAGGGAATTTGATTTTTAAAAATACAGCAACTACAAAATACAAATTCACTAATCATTAGCTTGGAGTGAACATGCTAAGTTGCTGCCTATGTTGCATGATTTCAGAGCCCCTTGATCACAATCTTCATAACTCCAGAGAGTCCTTCTTTGAGGATTCATTTCTTTAAGACTCAAAAGCTTTTATACATTCATGATTGTTAAATACTATGTAGGTACAAACTAGGAAAGAGGAAAGTAATATACTTTTGTCAACAGCACCTCATGAGGAATCAATTAATGATCATTTAAAATGCTTAGCTGCGTTAAAGCATTATTACAGAAAGACAAATACCATATGATCTCACTTATATGTGGGAATCTCAAAACAAAACAAAACCCAAGCTCATAGATACAGAGAACATAATGTACAGCATGTTGAATATAGTTAATAATATTGTATGTATAATTGAAAGTTACTAAGAGACTATATTTAAGTAGTACTCATCAAAAGAGAAAAGAATTCTGCAACTATGGTTGGTGCCAGATGTTAACTAGATTTCTTGTGGTGATCATTTCATAATATATATAAATATTGACTCATTATGTTGTACACTTGAAACTAATATAATATTGTATGTTAATTACACCTCAATAAAAAAAGAAAAAAGTGTGTATCAACTTTTTGAGTTAAAAATATAAATAAAAATGTTTAGTTTGGATTAGAACATTATTGTAGAAATAGTGTTGAAAATACTCTTCGAGTAATGCTTTTGACGTTACAAAATACTACCACACGGGGTCTCATATTTTCCTCACAGGAACTATATACCTGACCCTTGAAAGCTGATTAGATTTCAGAAATATGAAAGGCAAACTTCAGAAAGGGAAGCATAGCAGAAAAGGCATTTAGCAAATGCTTAAGTAATAAAAGCTTATCAGACAATTACTTTTAAGACTGGCATGTTAAGTAATATCTAACTGCTTTAATCTTGTCTTCTTTGGAATGCCATCACAATAAATCATATGTTAGCAAAAGGAAGTTAAACTAATGATTGATATTCTTCAACTGTGTTTTAAATGGTATTTCAAGTGATCTGATTTAATAAACTCATAAAATTCTGGCTAAATTTTTTGTTCAAGATTCCCACATGTTCTCAAAGCAAAATAAAAAAAAAACCCTTAATGTTAACTTTGTTTATGAATCTTAAATAAAACATCATAAAATTAGCAAATAATGTTGAGTATATTCAACAAGCAGATAGGAACATTTATATGTAGACCTCAATTTCAGTGAATGCCAAGAACGCCATATTATCAAGTAGTGATATTATCTGAATAAATTAAAAAAAATTTTAAGGCTGTATGATTTCTAATTAAATTTTATCACAGGTTTTGGTTAAAATAATAAATGTCTTTACTCTAAAAGAGAAACATTCAATCCAGAATTACAGTACAGAAGGGAAAAATGAAACCATATCCAGTTAATAAGCAATGACTTTACATACTTATAAATGTAATAACAACTTCATTAGTTTTTTAAATTACTTGGTGATAAAAATAAATATCCCTTTGATAAAGGAAGTCTTGTATTTTTATCTTCCTTTTTAACCTGCATTAAGAAAAAGATAAAACTCATTCGATCAACAAATGTGTATTAAATGAATGAAAACACCTTCACACGCCCAGGTGATGAATATAAAATTGTGGCATGTAACTTAAACCTGAACTGTATTTTTTGTTGTTGTTAAATGCAGAACCAACTGCATTTCTTCTGCTTCCCACTGAAAAAACTGTGTCCTGGATAAGAAGTATCATAAAACGATTAAGGTACCTGAACCAAGAATGTTGTTTAGAAGGGTACTTATTTTAACACTGTCTGGTAAAAGTTATTGAATATTTTATTTTAAATAACATAACAACACAGAGTTGTTCTCTACAATATTTGCCTAAAAACAAACACCACTGTCATTGAAAGAAAATAGACAATCTACTCATTGAAAAATACCAATCATCCATAGGTGGTCCTTTGTAAGACTGGAGGAAATATCGTTATTTATGCAAGACATTATTTTTCCTACGACAACTTTCATTTTGTGATCTGCTATTACAGAACCTAGAAGCCAATTCTAAAATAGAGGAAGGCACTGCTATGTCATGCTTTTTCTTCCTAACTTTTTAAAAAATATATATATAAATTCAGGTATAAATTTATATATAAATAACTGTATCCTAAAAGGTTTTACACCTTGACTCTACTAGCTATGTGTCAGAGAGACAGGACTAAAATTTCAAATTCCAATTTCCTATGTGAGTTTTCAAAATAACGTTTTCATTAAAACAAAATAATAGGTTACACAGTGCTTTCCAATATACACTCAGATTTTGAAAAAGTTGCTTTTCCACTATGCCCATCAGAACTGATGGACTGAATTAACATCCCATTCATAGACATGCTTCTTTTAGAAAACAGTCCACATGTGCTTGGTGAGTTTATATAACAATAGTATTCCTTTATTTCTCCATTCAGGGAATACCTGTGCCTTGCTCTGGATCTCTCAGCAGGCAAAGTGAGAAACTTACTTGGCTTTGAATGTGCTCTTTTAGATGTGGGCCCCTCTGTGACCGAATCAGGAGGTCGACTAGCTAACTGCAATGCAGTTGAGTTGTTTCTGTTAGTGTTTTGGGACTCAACATTTGTGACAGCTTCATTCTGTGGTTCGATACTTGGCTTTGTGCCTGTCTTTCGTTTCTGCTTCTGGGACACAGAAGTACTTGAAGTCCAGGTAGGAGGCAAAGCAGAGGTAGCGGTAGAGGAGTCCTGACTTGGACACATTTCTGAAGATGGAATCACATTGTCACTGGCAACTTTACAACACTGGGCATTGTCTTCATGTCCCACAGCTTGTTTGGACATGGACTGGGGCAGTGTTACACTGCAGCCTTGGATCTGCGCCCCATTAGTTTGAGAGTAGACATTGCTAACCTTGGTGACCTTGTGCTGCCCATTATTGTTACACACCTTATACCGGATCATGAGAATGATGATGAAAACCAGCACGGATGCTACAATTATTCCACCAATAATAATAATCATGGTGCCGCCCAAAAACTGGGACTGCATGAAATGGCATCGCACGTAATCCTGTTCCGTAGTAAACTGGATGCAACCCACGACTCTTGTGGCAGTGAGGGAAGTGATGCCATCATCATATATTGCCAAGACACACAAGTCATACATAGTTCCAGCAGCCAGGTTATTGACAAGAAAAGTTGTGCTCGTAGGAGGTATCATTCTGAGAGACAATGGAATTTGTGTTAATATTTAGAAAAAAGAGAAAAACATATGTACACATAGTACATTATGACTGGTTCTGTTTCATTTTAGTACTCATTAAGATAATCCCATTTATAACAGATACAAATTTGGAAAATGATCAAATCTTATATTTACCCAGTTAAAATGGCTAAACATTATTGTTGGAGTCTGCATTATGTATACTAATGGCGCCTGCACTATGTCCTTGACAAGCTTACTAATTACATTGCTTGGCAAAGCAGAACTCCTAATAAAAGCCACTGCTAAAAAATCATTTATGACAAATTGCTTTTGGAAGGTATGAGTGTGACATTATCTGACTACTAAACAAATCCATTTAGCACTTACAACACCTCTGTGACTAAAAGCCAATTTGAAGGAAGGGAAAACACTGACAATCGCATTAGAAACCAGAATGGAAATGCATTTCAGAGTATTTATTTTCCAAATCAGTTATAAGCTGCTATGGAATGGTCCCCAGTAAAACTATCTTTAATAACTGAGATAATCACTAAGATTAAAGTACTTTATTTACAGATCTCAACCCTCTCTTATACCTTCAACGCTTGGTTCCCAGTATGTTTTTATCTATAATGAGGCTAATAAAAATGTATGAGTAATATCCTATGAACATGAATGGGGCAAAGCTGTTGACCAGAGAGCATAAATCCCTCATCCTTTCCATTGTGAGACTGTGAACTTACTCTCAAAAACACAGTACCTAAAATTTTGTGAATTTATAAACATCTCTGAATCCATTACATCACAAGTTTTCTGTGGATGCCTCTTACCCACTAACTTTTTTTTTTCTCAGTAGCAACCTACACTATGACCTAAACTAAGATTTAGTTGAAACTATATCTTTTTCCCTGAGAGTTTTAGAAATTTCAAAATTTGGCAGTGCTAGTCTGTTATACAAGCAAACAATATGTTCTAAATGTACCAGGAAAATCTTAGGCCAGAGAATGTATTTGTGATTGAAATCACTACCATTTGATGATGATAATTGGCATGCATTACTAAGTATTTTATACACATTATAATTTAATTTGTACAAAGACTGTATGAGGTTGGCATTATCATGATTTTACACACGACAAATATTAGGGTCCAGAATTCCAGCCATTTCTTCAAAGTCACGTAGAATTCACTTGTCATTGCAGGATTAAAATCTTGGAATTTAGAAAACAGAAAGTAACCTATTTCACAGAGCTAAGGTTTAAAATATATAGAATGTCTAGTAGCTACAGGAAAGTGAAGGGTAGGGGTGGACGCTTGTCTTTGACAGTGGGTTAAATAACCCATAGCCCAGGTGAAGAGGAGTATGACAAGAACAGACAACTTTATGCTAATATGCATGCATCATAGTCTATATTCCATACTTTTAGTAATAAGAGAGATATCAGAAATCGTTTACTCTAATTGCTTTACTTCTAAAGATGAGGAAATTAAAACTCAGTCAGGTAGAACTGTGCCCAGGATTGATCACATGGCTAAGTAGGCCAGTTTTGTTTTTTTCCTACCACCTCATGCTCATTTTTAAAACTTTATCTCATTTCCATATATGAGTGAAAATCAAATTATATCCAAGAATTCACATAGGTATATAAGAAATGAGTTGATCTGATTTCACAAAAGCTTCAAGACAAATATATATATACATATGTATTTTAAAGCCATGGTTTTGGATCATTTCCTAGGAGTAGTGGTAATCTATCACGAGTGAAATCATATGGAGGGGTAAAAGGTATATTTCCAACTGAAAATTGGACAAGATGTGACTATAAATCAATGAGGCTGAACTTTAGAAAAACATACCAGAAATTCTGTAGTCAGATGCAAATTCTCCATCAATGTCCTTACAGGAAATTACATACTTAACTCCAGTGGTACTTTCACTGCTCAAAATCCTTATAAACATTCTCTTGGAACTGTCTTAAGAACCAGTGTATACGAGACAACACACATGCACATAACTCAGTCACTCAAAATATCAGTCTCATTATTTTATAGTTACATCCTATTTTTGACCAAAAATGGCAATATCCATCTTGATCACCCACCTTATTCACAAGACTTGGCTCCAAATGGCTTTTGCTTGTTTCCAAAATTCAAATTCACCCTCAAAAGACGAAGATTTGTCACCACTGAGGATATTCAAAATAGTATGACGAAGGTTCTAAAGATAATTCCAAAAGTGCTTTGAGCAATGGCAGCATCATTGGGATAATGGTATAGCCTCCCAACGTGACTTCCTTGAAGGAAAGAACACTCATATGGATGTGTAAGTTCTGGTATGTTTTTGAATGTTTTAAATAAATCAAGCTTGTTCTCTGATAGTCACATCTCTTAGAGGAGGGGAAAAAAGTAAGTAAGCATAATATTAAATATAAATTTGAACTCTCTAAAAAGAACACCAGAAAAGTAGTTCCCCATATGTATTCACCTTTCACGAGCCTTACATTATACATTTTAAAAAATGGAGTTCTATAATTACAATATGGAGTAGCACTGCCAATTTTAAAAAAAAATCAGTAGTACATTCACAAGCCCTATATATTAAGATGCATGGTATAAAGATTTCCTTAATTTTTTCTTACCTGTAAACAAGGGTGTCATCATAAGTACCATTGTACTGGATTTGAAACATACGTATTCCAGGGATATTTCTTTGAAAATTAAATTTAAGTAGTGCTGTAGATGATGTTGCTTCTGCCACCACAATTTTATCTTGACTTATTTTAGTATCACCATTACTACTGCTCGCATTAGAACCTGACTTAGTAGAAGTTGAGATATCTGAAGAACCAGGATCAGGCTCATGGATATGGTTTGTACTGTTTAGTAGGTGAGGAAGCTTAATTATATGAAGATCCACTGTTTGTGTTGCTTCCCCGGCAGGATTGGAAGCAATGCAGGTAAAAGCACCTGTATCCTTTACAGTTGTTATAAGAATGTCAAGTGTTCCATTATCATACACCAGAGATCTTGTTGCATTTGAAATAAGCTTCCCTTCAGGAGAAATCCAGTGAATCGCAGGTTCAGGGTCACCCCTAGCTTTGCACCTCAGGGTTGCCCTTTGACCCTCCAGGACTCTCATCTCGTGTGTATGACGAGTAATGAGAGGAGGCTCACACAGAAACTCTTCCTCAGGAATTGACCAAAAATAACGCCCAGTTAAAAGTGCTGGAGAAGCACAGGTCTCTAGGTCATCTTCTCTGGACAGGCGCCTCAACCATAACAATTCACAATTGCAATGCAAAGGGTTTCCACCGAAACTTAATGCAAAAGTAGATGGGCTTATGATTCCTGAGGTTGCTAGTACCTGAGCTCGCTGAAAGAGAGGGTCAGGTGGTAGCTTCTGCAATTTATTTGATGTTACATCTAGCCGAGTCATCTTGTGCAAGTGAGAGAAAGTCCCCTTAGGAATGTTATCAATCATATTGTGATCCAAACTAAGGGTGTGCAAGCTAACCATCTTCTCAACAGCATCCCAAGGAATTGTTTCTAAATTATTATAGGACAGATCCAACTCCTCAAGGGCAAAGACATCATCAAATGCTGTAGACGAAATTAGAGTCAGCTGATTGTTGTTCAGTATCAAATGATGGAGGTTGGAAAGCCCACTGAACATGTCATTTGTAATTTTAGTCAATCTGTTGCTATTCAAGTGCAATGCCCTCAAATTTCGTAAGTCAGCAAAAGCATGGGGTGTAATGAAACTTATTGTATTCCTGGATAGAGTCAGGTCCACCAAGCTGGTCATATTGGCAAAATCTTTCCTTTTAATATTTGTAACAAAATTGTCTGCCAACCTCAGTTCCACAGTTCTTCTGTCAATGTTTGGTGGAACAAATAAAAGCCCTTTCTTGGCACAAAGGGTTGCAAGATTAGGAGACAAAATCTGACAGACACAACGCTTTGGACAGATCTGAGCTTTCACTGCTATGCCAATGAAAAACAGATAAAAAAGAAATTTTTCCATTGTAGATCGGATTTAAGAACCTGAAAGAGAAGACACAATATAGAGTTAGCATCTTATCATTGGACTAATGTTCATATCCCTACTAGAATAATCTGTTTTATGCAAATTGGAATACAGAAACAATTTATTCATATGTTTACTTCACAAATAAGTATAAAATATCTACTATGTATTAGAGGCTATAATGGACACTAGGATGAAAAATATACATTCATGGGCTCATGGGATTTAAAATCAAATGGGAGGAGAAAATCAACAGATTATTGTAATTCTGCAAATTAAGCACTATTTTTGAAATATAGCCAGAGTACTCCATGGGAGCACAAAAAATCGACATTCAGCCTGGCATGGAGGGTGGGAGTTCAGGGAAACTTCACTTTTAACCCCAGAAGGCATCTTGTAAGTACAAAAGCTTAAAGGCATATTTAAGAATTCACAAATATTTCAATTTACTAGCCTGGGGAGAAACAATAAAAGACAGTAGTATTTGTTATCGTTAACCTTGTGGCATGATATTTGAAAGTAATTAATTGTTGAGTAAATTTTATTCATCTTTACAAATTATCTTGAGCATAAGACAACCTTCACATCCTAACTGTAAGTACAGGGTCTTATTCTGAAAAACAAAAAGGCTGAAAATTTACCACAAATGTTCTGAGTTTCTTAAATATTAGAATACTTGATTTGATGTAAACATGGGTTTTCCAAGATAATTTGTGGTAATCAGTCATCAAAATGCTTGACGGTGAGTCAAAAAGATGTCATATTCCATGCTCTTTTTCTTAAAATATTAAATGTATTTATATTTATCCAAATTTATTTTTTTAAATGACAGTTTCATTTTCCAGTTTTGTTTTAAGTATTTGCTCTTGAAATTAATCCTAAAGATAAAAACACTAACACATACATGATTAAAAGTTCTCACAAATTATATATATATTTTTAAATGCCAAGAGGAAAAATAGCTAGAGAAAATCATTCAAAATTTTAATTGATGAAAATATGAAATGAGTTATTCTAGAAATAATGCACAAAGTTTTCTAAATAAAACATATTCTTATAGGTTTAATTTACTTTATGTTATTTTATGCCATATTAAATGTAGTTGTAATGAATAAAAACTATTATTCTCAACAAAGCAAACAGTCTTACTCTTCTGTTCATGACAGAATAACTAGTTAACTAGTCCTGAACTAGCCTTTTCATAAGAAGCAGCAAAAAAAAAAAAGTACAAAATATATAAAGCTATAGTTTTTAGACATCAGAAAAGAGAATGCACAGAACTGTGATCCTTGAGAAAAGTGAACTAACAAAAATGAACCAAATCATTGCTCCTGGGGACAGTTTCCAAACCACAGCCCAGGAAGGAAAACAAGGCAAACCATGAACAACAGGCTTATTCAATTTAAGAGACAGAGATTGGAGCACAGTCTCAAGTGGCTTGAATGTATGGGGCAGAATACCACAAAGGGGAACGTTATTGGAAGAAAGAACTCCAGTAATCTCTGTAGATAGACATGGCAATAGACTAACTATACATAAACACCGATGGAAAAAAAGTTAAAAAGACAGAAAAAAGTGAAAAAATACTCAGTGACATGTGGAAAAATATTGTCAAACATACACATAATTGCCATCAGAAGGAGGCTGTAAGGTAGAAATATATTTGAAGAAGTAAAGGCAAACATTTTTCAAATTTATAATAAAAAAATCCTCAACAATCCATCAATCTAAGCACAAAACAAGAAAAAGCATACCAACACACATCATAATAATATTGCAGGTAACCAAAGAAAAAGAAAAATAATCTTAAAAGCAGTCAGAGTAATAAGACACATTATAAGAAGGTGAACAAAATAAAAATAATGTCTGACTGCTTACTGACTTCCCTTTGAAAATAAGGCAAGAGGGAAGACAATGAAAAATGATACTTAAAGTGCTGCAAGAAAAAGGAAAGCCTGTCAACCTGGGTGGTCTTCTATACATTCATAAAAGACAAAAGAAAAATAAAGACATTTTGAGAGAAACAAACTAAAAGATCCATCACAACTAAAACTGCACCATAAGAAAATATAAAAGAATTCTCCTCAGGTTGAAATATGTATCACGTGGAATCTTGAATCTTCATAAATGGATGAAAAGCAACAGAAATAGTATATGTGTGGATAGGTATAAAATATTTTATCATGTTTTAATAAGTTTATAAATAGTATTTCTGGTATAGATATAAAGGGGATGTGTGAAAAAGATGAAGGAATAAAGTGCAAAGAGGTAGTTACAAAATAATCATGGGGGTGTAAAGCACAGGGAATATAGTCAATAATATTGTAATAACTATGTATGGTGTCAGATGTGTGCTAGATTTATTGGGGTGATCACTCACAAGTTACATAGATGTCTAATCACTATGTTGTACACCTGAAACTAATATAATATTATTCAACTGTCGTTGAAAAGTTAGAAAAAAAATTAAACAAAGGCTGAACCTCACATACTTTATATCTCACAGAGTTCTGTGCATAGGAACCACACTCAATAAATATTGGTTGAAGGGGAAAAAAAAAGCTTACAAAAATCATCATTCTCAGCCTAACCATGAAATATGATGGATAAACTACAAATTATTTATTTTTTAAAATGACATCATAATGATAAACAAATAAACATAAAGGAACTATATTCCAGAATGTGACAGTCGTTGACGAAAGAGGAGCGATCCACGGATGGATGACCTCTACTTTCTCCATCAAGAGAATGGTAAAGAAAAGGACCTACCTGGTATTGGGGTGAGGAGAAAGCAGCCTACTAGTTAACAAACTTTTTTTTTAACTTGTTTTTTTTTTTTTTAGAACAGCTCTAGTTTTAAAATAAAATTGAGAGAAACGTAGAGAGCTTCCCCATATACCAACTGCTCCCACTCATGAAAGGCCTCCTCCATTATCAACATCCCCTACCAGCGTGGTACATTTGTTGTAACCAGTGAATCTACATTGACACATCATAATCACCAAAAGTCCATAGTTTAGATTAGGGATCACGTTTGGTGCTGTACATTATAAGGGTTTGAATAAATGAATAAGGACATGTATCTACCATTACAGAATCATACAGAGTATTTCCACTGCCCTTAAAGTCCTCTTTACTCTGCCTATTCATTTCTCCCTAACCCATCTCTCCCTGGCAAGCACTGATCATTTTAGTATCTCCATAGTTTCAATCACACAGTATTTAGCTTTTTTAAAATGACTTCTTTCACTTAGGAATATGCCTATGTCTTTTCATGGCTTGACAGCTCATTTCCTTTTAGTATTATTCCATTTTCTGGAGGTACCACATTTTATTTATCCATTCACCTACTGAAAGACATCACAATTGCAAGTTTTGGCAATTATGAATAAAGCTGATGTACACATCTGTATATAGGCTTCTGAGTAGGCATAAATTCTCAGCTCCCTTGGGTAAATACCAAGGGTGTGATTGCTGGAGCCTATGGTAAGAATTTATTTAGCTTATAAGAAACTACCAAATTGTCTTCCACCGAGGCTGCACCATAATTCTCACCAGCAATGTGTGAGAGTTCCTGTTGCACCACATCCTCGCCAGCACTTGGTCTTCTCAATGCTTCAGATTTTGGTCATTCTCATAGGTGGGTAATGGCATCATTGTTTTAAGTTGTATTTCCCTGATGACATATGCTATGGGTTATCCTTTCATATTTTATTCGCCCTCTGTATATCTTCTTTGGTGAGTTGTCTGTTAAGATACATGCCCTATTTTCAAATCATGATTTATTATTAGTATTATTCTTGAGTTTTAAGAGTTCTTTGTATATTTTGGATAACAGTTCTTTATCAGATGTGTCTTTTGCAAGTATTTTTTACCATTCTCTGGCTTGTCTTACCATCCTTTTGACATTGTCCTTTGCAGACCAGAAGTTGTTAATGTTAATGAAGTCCAGCTTATCAATTATTGATTTCATGGATCATGTTTTAGGTGTTATATGTGAAAAAATATACCACCATACCCAAAGTAATCTAGGTTTTTTCTTATATTATCTTCTAGGAGTTTTACAGTATTGCATTTTACATTTAGGTCTCTGATCCATTTTGGGTTGATTTTTTTGAAGGAGCTAATGTCTGTGTTTAGATTCCTTTTTTTTTTTTTCTGTTTGCATAAGGATGTCCAGTTGTCCCAACACCATTTGTTGCGGAGAAAACTGCTCCATTGTATTGCCTTTTCTACTTTGACTATAGTTATGGGGGTCTATGTCTGGGTTTTCTATTCTGTTCTGTTTATCTATTCATTTATTAATACCACACTATCTTTTTTTAAATTAAATTTATTGGGGTGACATTAGTTAGTTAACTTATATAGGTTTTAAGTGTACATTTATATAATACATCATCATATATTTGATCCCTTTTCCTTCTTCTACCACATCCCCTTCCCCCTTCCCCTCTGATAACCACTAAACTTTTGTCTGTGTCTATGTGCTTTTGTTTCTTTGTTTGTTTGTCTTGTTTTTTTTGTTGCTTTCAGTTTTATAATATATCTCACATATCTGTGAAGTCATATGGCTCTTGACTTTTTCTGTCTGGTGTTTTTCACTTAGCATAATAATCTCAAGATCCGTCCATGTTGTCACAAATGGCAGTATTTCATCTTTTCTTATGGCAGAGTAGTATTCCATTGTGTTAAGTACATCTTCTTTAGCCAATCATCTATCGAAGGACACTTTGGTTGTTTCCATGTCTTTGTCACCATTAATAATGCTGCAATGAACATTGGGATACATATATCTTTATGAACAAATGTTTTCAGATTTTTGGAGTAGATATCCTGAAGAGGTATTGCTGGGTCATATGGTAATTCTATTCTTAGTTTTTTTGAGAAATCTCTATACTGTGTGATACCACACTATCTTGATTACTGTAGCTCTATAGTAACTCTCAAAGTTCAGAAATATCTGTCCACCAACTTTTTTTTTCTCCTTCAATATTGTGCTATCTTGATTATTCTG